TACCGTGTGTGAGAGAGAGAGAGGTGCTGGCAGGTCTCTGATTGGTCAGAATTCCTCAACGTTTTTCTGGTCTGTGATGCGTTTTAGGAGCTTTTCTGTAAGCTGCCACTGCTGAGCTGAAAGAGTTGGACAACAAATCCAGTGTTGTGCTCTCATGACACGCCGTGCGTTGGTGTCACCCTGCTGCTGCGCTGCGTTCATGCTGCTGCCGTGGCATTCTGTTGTGGAATCAACAATGGTGGAGCCTGTGTGGCGGGGGAGCGTTCACCCCCTGGCACCGAACGTGGCACAGAGGAGCTCACCCGGGCTTTTCAGCTGCCCCCCCCCTCTCCTTCGATTCACTCCCTCGCCTAACCGTGTCTCCCCCACTCAAGCTTCACTTTCTCCCTACGTCGCTCCCGTTTTTCCTCCCCTCTCTGCTGCCTCCTGTTTGTTTCTCCCCTCTCAGTTTCGTCCTTTCTCTCGGCCCCACAAAGACGGCCATTCACCCCGTGGCCCTTAAAGGCGAACAAAACGTCCACAGAAATGCCATCGCAGTCGGGATTTCTGCCTCGAGAGTCGCTCCCGCGCTCCTCGCCAGAGTCACTTTGTGCTGCTCCTTCACTGAGGGGTCAGTGTTTTCCATCGGCCCCGTGTGGGAGAGGATGAGATGGAGGGGGGGGGGGGGGGGGGGGGGCGGGCCTTGGGCCCGGGGGGGGGGGGTGAGAGGGGGGGGGGGGGGGGGGCTGAGCTGCTGGCCTTGTGCCCGGTAAGGAGAGAATAGAGAATAGATGTGGAGGGCTAAAAAAGGGTCTGACGGGGCATGTTTATTGGTGCAGCAGTGACTAAAACATGCACACGTCACACCTGCTTACTATTCATGGCTCCACTTGACCCATGGGAAGTTCTTTTGGAGATGTTTGCTTGTTAATGAGAGAAAATGGGTTTTCACTTCAAGTGAAAAATATTAAAGCTGCACCTATCAATATTTTTATGTCAACATCGGTAAAAAAGGACTACATGTATTATGAGAGCTGACTAACCCACAGAATTTTCTCCCGACTCTGCAGTTCCCGTCAGTTTTTCCGGCCTGCGGCCTAAATCGTTTGATTCCCCGCTCTCATCAACTTTGTTTCCAGCTTTAGCTGTCAGCTGTTTTTTGCAAAAAAAACTGAAATCTCAAATCCGCTCTCTGTACACAGTGACGGTGGACAGACAAAAGTTAGCTGGTGAACGTGGTGGAGCATTTAGCAGCTAAAGAGGCGGATGTTGCCCTCAGGAGTTGGTGGAGACTACAACAGAGTGGGAAGGAGACTGAATACTGGACTTTCATTCCTCACGTGACCAGGAACTCCTAATAAATCCTTAGGTTGTCTGTTTGTGCTGGATGGGCTTTGTGGGAAACTTTACATTCCTTAAAGGGACAGTGTGGCATCTAATTAAGATCTGTGACATCAAATAGTGCAGCAGCTGAAATACAGGAATGAAATGTAATATTAAAAACATAATACTGGTAAACTGAGTGAAGCGTAAAAGTGCAGCTGACGGCCGTCACGCTGTGGTGGACCTCCACTCGCTGGTCTGGTTCTCTTTCCCTCCCGAACAACAACAGAGCCTTCAAGTGCTCCCTCTACGTCCTGACCCACAAGCTCACTTCCTCCATACAGCAGCGCCCATATACGGTAATGCCTTCAAGAAGTAATTCGTCTGTCATGCCCTTATCTCTCCTTCTGTCTGGCTCTAACACACAAGCGAACTCTGCTCCTTTAGATGAGCGGATCAAAGCGGGACCTCCTTGGCCCCTCGGCCACGTAGCTTGCGATCAGTGAAGTAGAAGAAATGATGACTCTTACTTATTTAAATCTTAAATCAGCCGCAAAGCAAGTTAGTTGGATTGTGAGTCAGGTCTGTGTGTGTGTGTTTCTACACGCAGCACAATGGTGGGTTGGGCAGAAACCAGGAGATCCTCCCAAACGTGTAGCTGGACCTTGTTTCTGAGCTCAACCCCTGTGACACAGAGAGGCGGTGGGGCGGTAGTGTTACTGCTTCTGACAGTTACATTGCCCTCTTATACAAGTTTCATAAAGTCTTCTAAAAGAACGGAAACGATTCGTCATTTCACAAGAAAAATCAGCAACTATTGTGGCAATCATTAAATTGCCAAAACGTCAAACATTTAGTGGTCACAGTTTTTGGTGCTCTTCTTATTTAGTTTTGTTGCAAGCTGAATATTGTTTTTTGTGGTTTTGGGCCGTTGGTCGTACAGAACCAGAAGTATCGATACATTTTAATATGGTGATGTTTTGTTATACTGTATCGATTTCTAAATGACCTTTCCTCACTTCTTCATTCTATCACATTACTGATGATTATTTAAAAAAATCTCCCGGCATAAATCTTTTGTGAAATACTATGAGAGTTTTCCTAAATAATCTCATTAAATGAACCGTTAGGACCGAGCTGTTTGGGTCTGTGATCTGTCTGGAATGATAAAGACGTCGCCGTCCTCCTGACGTCAGCACGGTTCACGGGGCGAGGAGGAGGACGATGACCCGGGAGTTCAGCTTCAGCCAAGAATGCAACTTAACAATAAATAGATAAAAGAGGAACGAGGTCAGAGTACAAAGCAGACCCCAAACTTAAAAGCTTCGCCAAACCGACGCACGCACCGGACCAAATTAGGAGACGTGAATCAGAACACGGAGAGCTTTCTCAAGGAAGGACATTTCCTCAAAACCTTCCCGATGAACCAGCTGGGAAACGCCAGCGGAGCGACCCTGGTTCCCTCCAGACCAGAGGAGGCTGTCGAGAAGGGAAGCTCAACAGCTGGTTCATCCTCCCTGCTGCCACAGAATGAGCAGAGACGCTGAGCACTGTGCATCTGCTCAGGTTATCCGTCATCGTGCGAGTCTCTTTGGATTGTGTTTACGTGTACGCGATGCCTCGGGGCGTCAGGAGAGTACAGCACATCGTCAGTCAGCCAAACTCTCAATCTAATACAAGCAGGCTGCAACTCAAATTCACCTTTGAGTGTAAAAGTGCTCTCTCAGAAAATGGAGCATTTCCTGTTTGCATTTCCTACCTGAAGAAACGTACCTGCACCACCCTAACGTTGAGAGTCCTGCACAGACCAGACAGTGTTCTACACACAGAGAGCCTCGTACATCGCTGCTCATAGTTAAATAATGAAGGGCTGTTCCAGTGATTTAGTATTGCACTTGCAGTTAGGATGAGGTGTGTGTGTGTGTCTGTGTGTGTGTGTGTGTGTGTGTGTGTGTGTGTGTGTGTGTGTGTGT